CCTAAGCAAAGGAAAATCTGGAATACCTTCTCTGTTCTAGTGAATGATGACACAGTCTATACTAAAAGGATACTACATACATAATTGGTTATACAGGTAACATTTTAAGGCCTGGCACACAGGTGAACATGCTCAGATGGGCAGAGGAATTAAACCCAGGTGTCTCACATCTTTAGCTAACACTAGCCACTGAAGTACAGAATGGGGGTGGGGAAACCACCACCTTTTCCTTCTGGCTCTCATTTGTAAAGATTCTCACTCACAGCTCTGTACAGGAGAAGCACTTGTCTTCTACATGCTGGGTGAGTGCTACTGATCAGCTGGTAACTAAAACATGAACGGGATGCTGTTAAGTCCCATTGCAGTGTATAAAACATTTGAGCAGACAATCTGGTATTTAACATAGAACTGCCAGCTGCTGTTTCTTCTGTGTAGCAGTATCAGGTTCCCATAATGGAAGGAGGTTTGGAAAACAAACAAACAAAAGTAGGAAACTACATGAATTGGTAATTGTATTTCCTTTCTCTAGAGCACCTTTAACCACCTGCATCACAAATGAAGGTTGACTCAAGTTGGAAAACTCACAGAATAGGTTTTTCTTTTAAGATCTCCCAAACAACCTTCTCAGCTGTCCTAGAATGTGTGTGAACTGGAAAGTAAACTCCTATTGCTTTCCTCCATGTCTTAACAAATTTCATTCTAACATCGTCCACTAGGTTCCCATTTCCGTGTTTTGCCATCTGGATCTCATCTTTATAAATACAAGTTACATTCACCCACTTGGCTCACTTCATCTGCAGCGACTTGTTAAATGGCTTTAAAGATGATTTACTAAAAAAAAGCTAGAGTTAAAGATTTAACATGAGAAGAGATTAATTTAAGTAGAGAACTTCTTACTTTAATGTCAAAATTATGTTACAAATGACTTCTGGCTTCCCACATTGATCAGCTGATTTCTGCCTTACATTTGTTCTCTGGCTCCATATGTCTGTACTAGCACATTAATTACTCAGAAGGCACCCAAGTTCACAGCAATGATCTAGTCACAAATTTCAAACATCTGAAATACAAGTGTGTAATATCTGAAAATTAGAAAAAAGAGAGTCCAAACACTAGCACTTTGTTTCTGAAGCAGTATGGAACACACTAACTGTGCCCAAGAGAGTTAAAGTTTTATTTAAACTAGTTTTCTTTTGCTTACTGAATTATGTTTTTCACCAAAACAGTACAAAGCTCCAACAAAGTAACAACAATCTGAACGGATTTACTCACTCAGTTATTTTAGTTATATTTTAAATAGTATTAGAAGTTTGTACCTACATGCCAAACATAAACCACATGCCAACTAATTGCTCCTGCCTCCTCTGGATCAGCACAGCACAGAGCCACCCTCTTCCTAGTTTATGTTTTCATATCTTCAGTAGCTCAAGTGATACAGATCCAGTGCTTGGGACTGAAATTTTGCAATTTATTCCTTAAAATGATGTACAGGACTGTATCTTTAAATATGTTTTTCTCCTTCAATCTGTAAGAGAGAAACAGGAGGAAGCCCATGCACAAGACAAAAAAAAAAAAAAAAAAAAAAGAGACAGAGCCCTGAGTTTGCTTTTCCTGAGTACATGGCATCTATCTCCTTAACATCTTCATATGATATGTAAACACCTTTAAAGACATGAGGAGTGAAAGATTAGGGATGAATGAAAACAGTTGCATTCTTTTCCATTCTCTTCATCTAAATCTAGATACAACTGATAAGACATACCAGTTCAGGGCGCTGTATGCCCTGGCACATGCTACTGTAACTCTGCCCCAAGAACATGCAACCAGTTAGTCAATAGGGTACTCTTTTTGATCCTTAAACATTCTATGAAGTTCTTCAGACTCCACCCAGCAATCAACAGGTAGATCCTGGAGCTGTAGTGCCATAAGCACTGTTGAGATGCCCTTTTGGCAAAGGAACCCCTGCCTTGTGCTCTAATATAAATTTGAAAATGAATTTTTTTAAGTGTAATAAAAAGGGGCCAGGGCAAAAAAGCCCAGTCAGTCAAAAACCTACCTGGATTACTTCTGGGCTAATTTTGACTATTCAAATTTTCATTTGACTATAGATCTAACAGCAGACCCACTGTCTTCAAGGACTAATATTGCCTCTGGCTGCTTCTCAATACCAACCAGCGGTCCAACTTTTTCTGGGCTGAACTTCAATCTGTTTGTCCAACCTGAGCTAGGCACCATCTGGGACACAGAGCCACACCATCCTCAGTGAATGGGCTAGGAAAGTCAGACTGTCCTCACTGTAGCTACCTGCAGACTGAAGGAAAACACCAGTGAGAAGTCCTCTAACATCCCAAAAGTGACCTCAAAACTGAGATTCGGGACCCCTTTACAGCATATACCTAACAGATTTCCAATCTTATATCACAATGCATCTCCTGATTAGTTAGCACTTCACTCAACATGAGGAAGATGGAAGAAAACAGATGCAAACTGGGGACTTGACTGTTTTCTAAGAATGTCACTGTCCTGGTTTCAGCTGGGATAGAGTTAATCTTCCTAGTAGCTGGCATAGTGCTGTGTTTTGGATTTAGTAGTAGAATAATGTAGATAACACGCTGTTGTTTTAGTTTTTTCTCAGTACTGCTTATGCTAGTCAAGGGCTTTTCAGCTTCCCATGCTCTGCCAGGTGCACAAGAAACCGGGAGGGGGTACAACCAGGACAGATGACCCAAACTGACCACAGGGCTATTCCATACCATATGATGTCATGCTCAGTATATAAGCTGGAGCGGGGTTGGCCAGTGGGCAGCGATCACTGCTTGGAAACCGGCTGGGTATCGGTCAGCAGGTGGTGAGCAACTGCATTGTGCATCACTTGCTTTGTATATTATTATTACTACTACTATTTTACTTTATTTTATTTCAATTATTAAACTGTTCTTATCTCAACCCAGGAGGTTTTCTCACTCCTACTCTTCTGATTCTCTCCCCCATCCCACCGCGGCAGGGGGAGCGAGTGAGTGGCTGCGTGGTGCTTAGTTGCTGGCTGGGGTTAAACAACAGTCATGAAATGCAGACCTTTGTAATTGCTTCTCAGCCTATATCAAGGGAACAAACCCAAACTCTGTATCCACTGTATTTGCAATTACTGAGACTGCAAGAACAATTGAAAGAATTGGTTTTGGCTTGGTAATAATTTCTATTCCCTCCATGATCTTATTTCAACTGTTCTGTGCTGTTCTCTGACCTTGTTAAAAGCCACCTTGCCAGGAGCCTGCCACTTTCCCATCTGAATGCACCTGTCACCAAAATGAATTACCACCTTGCATTAGCGGTTCAAACAGCCTCCTGATAGGAACTGCAGGAAGAGCAGAAAATGGTGCAAAACTCAAAATTATATATTATCCCTAAAATGCTACAACTTCACCTGTCAAGGACTGTAATTAGAGTTGGGCCAAGGCAATGTTAGCTCAGCTGCCTCTGAACACACCTGTTTCAATTTAATTCGTAGTAATTAAGAAGCCTAGGGCACCAGGAAAAAATGCTTTTCAGTTACTGTTTCAAATAGCTGAGTTTTCATGTGCCATTTAAAATCCTGTTTTTTCAGAACAGACTGCTGACTTGCTAATGCTAGCAAAATGAAATAAAGCAAAATATTTTTAGCAACAGGAAGTTGTTGCTTGCTACTGCCAATTACATGCCTTGTACTTGAACAGTGACATTTTTTCCCCTTTGCTTATTCTTCAAGATAGGTAAAAGCTGGCTTAGGTCTCAGTGCATGAGGATTCAAACAAAACTCTTAGTCCCCCAGAGTTGGCTGACACTCCTGCAGTCATAGCCAATACTGGCAGCAATCTGCTGTGACAGAGCAAACAACAGTGTCCTAGATCCAGTCTTCAGAAAAGGGGGAAGGAGAAGATTAAGCAAGAGACTTGGATGTATTGACTCTGGCAAAAGGTTGAATACCTTGTCATGCTAATAAAATTACTGAATTTGGGGAGGAGAAAGTGGGGCAGAGGGGGGGAAATTAAAAAAGCATTAAAATTACATAAGAATAGATATTTATACTCTGAGTTAATTTATCAAACTGACACAAAGATGAATCATCCACCATTAACATAATGGGATACAAGTTTTCTTTATATCAGAGTCATTATTTACAACTCTTAAATATTCACAGAGGAGTCAAGTATCCTCATCTTTTAATTTAAAAAGTGATCTTGCAGACCAAAATAAAACTGTTGGCAAAAATAAGTTTCTATGGGAACAGTGCCCAAAGAATGATTTCTTCAAAAACAGGATAGATCTTAACAATCACAATGGCACTTTTTTTTTTTTTTAAACCTACACTGTAAACTACACAGGGCTCAAGCAACTCACATAAAGCTAGATCTTCCGAGTAACAAAACAATGAAAATGCTAATAACAAGAGCCTGTGGAATAGCTAGACACAGCTACTTATGACTTTTAAAAATGTAACACACACCTCAGTTATTTTTTTGAGGTGACATACAACTCTGCTTTGATGCAGGTTCATTCCCACATGCTGAGAATCCAACTGAAGCCAATATGGTTCCTCTCAGTGAGCTAACTTGAATATATGCATGTATTTCTACAAGTAGAAGTCCATTATTTTAATAATTGGCCTTGTTCTGCTGTAATGCCATTAGAAAGACAACCATACCATGGTGTATTTTTCCCATCTTAGAACACTCACCAAAAAAAAAAAAAAAAAAAAGTTACCTGGGAAATTCAGAGCAATGCTTCCTGAATACTGTTTTGATTATTTAGGAATGGTTTTAGTATTATCAGTCACTATTTTCCATAGACTGACGTGGATATGTATTTAAAAACTGGACAAGAAAAATGAGTGTTAATAGTCAGCACCATCATTTCACCACTTAAGTGAACTTTATGGAATATAACAGCATCTACCTGGAGCTGTACTGAAGGGACACCCATATATATGCCACGCATGATCTTAAACCCACAAAAATCAGGAAGTATATGAAAGCTGCATCTTCTTTTATTTGTTTGTCTTTGCTGCTTCAACAGGTAATTTCTTTACAATCCAGGTTTTTAGTTTTTCTATTTCATTTCTGCTTAACTCATGATTAAGGTTTGGAAAAGTATGAAGTGATGTTGATACTCCCAGTGACTTTAACATCTTGTTGGTCTCTTCACCCCATGAGCAGAAAACTAGTTCATCAGCAGTTCCATGACACTGAAATAATTCTGGAAGAACACTTTCATTTGTTTTCAAAGCCTAGATGGAGAAGGATGGAGAAGAAATACTGTCAGACACATCAATAAAATTTTTAAAAGAATAGTTACAATTACATGGTGACAATTTACATAGCATTTCTTTTATTAACTTGTGTTTTAGCAGTCATATTGTATGATCTTTACAAAAGCAAACAAGGGAATACTGAAAAAACTGCACTTCAAATTCCAATGTGCTAACTCTTGACAAACAATAGGGTTTACTTTAAGGCCTATATCCCTCTCCAAATAAGAGAAACAGAAAACATTCATGACAGCAGATGGAGCCCATGAGTATTTTAATTCATCACAAATTTTCAAAGAATAATTACACTTACACAGGCTCTCTAAGGACAACTTGCAAACCATTTCATTTGTTAATCTACCTTCTACACTGACTTACTTTGAATAAAATAATTGTACTGTCTGTGCAAAAAAGCAACAAAACATCATGTAAGGACAGCTTTAAAGCCTTACTTCCCTAATACTCCGCTTATCTATTTCCAGGAAGTATCATATGTTTAGAATATTCATCAATTGCCTCAGATGAATAAACACGCTATACTCAATTTTAATTATCATGTTTTTCTGTTAAGTCTACCACACACTTACCTGGTAAACAGCAGAGTCTTTATTGAGAAAACTAGACAAAGCAAAGACTCCTGCCAGATCTCGATGAAACCTATATGCTAAATGCATTGCCATTCCACCTCCCATTGAAAAGCCTCCTAGGATGCAACAAAAGAAACAAAGATTGGATTTTGCTGTATGTCTTTGTAACCCAGTGTCCAATTTATTTTTATCTTCAGACTTGTTTCTTTTATACATGATGCAATCAAAAAACATCCTGAGTAACGTAAAGGTTACAATGATCTTAAATCAAAGCATGATTCAATTAACAAGTTGGATACTAAAGTACTGTTGAAGATTCATTACTGAGAGAGAAAAATAATAATAATAAAAAAATCAATCAGCCAAAATGCCATTACTTCAGAAGCTATTTGTGTATGGTCCCTACCAGGTAGTTGAACACCACTGCCACATATTCTCTAACATTAACAAAGCAAAACTCTACTAACAGATCATTCTCCCTGCTTTTTTATTCAACTTTTCCCCTAGGTTAGCAGCATTCACACATGAAAGATACATATCACTATTGTACATAATCAATGAACACTCACCACATTAGACTAGTACACAGAGGTTGAGGGTTTTTTGTTGTTACACCTTAGGATATATAATAAATAGGCAAAAACTGCAGTGTACCCCACCTGAGTTCTAAAAGTATGTCTGAATTAGTGGCCTTCTCTGTTCCATACGTCTCTTCAGCTGAGCTAATTCCTCACATTAGGTAATTCCTCGGGGATGATTTTTACATGACAAATGCTTATTCATTAGGAAAGAAATCCAGACTACCGCATTACTTCACAAGGACACAGTACACAGGCTGTTATATTGACCAGGGTGAAGAATGACCAACTGCTGAAATCTCTTCTAGCACAGAGATAGCAACCAGCAGAAAGGTTATAACTGCAGCTCTACTTAGGGCAGCATTAGCATCCCGGGTGCTGGTGATACGATTGGTCTGTGCCAGGTAGTTAACTGGTGTGAAGTAGTTGCAAAATTCTGAGTCCAGACCTTTTCACACAAGACACATGAAATTGGGGGTTGAAGAAGAAATGCAGAAATAGTAGACAAAATAACCAAACCATTTCAGCTTGTTATCTTTTTGAAGCAATTAAAATGAAACTCCAGAATGGGAATGGCTCTTTTGCAAGGGCTACATAAGTCCTCTGGGGTTGATTTCTGCGCTATGCTGAAGTTTAACATGGGTGCTAAACAAAACCCAGGCAGGAAGCAGTGCACCAAAACTGAGCCCTGTGACACCCTGCAACTTTGGTACTTCACTGGATCCTGGGACCACACAGGAAATCTCTGGCACAGACAAGCTCAGAGGCAGAAAAGGCTGCACTTTGTAAATATTAGTTGGGTCATGGTGAGACTGTTCCTAATGGGGAATCCTCCTCCAGCATGTTTATCTGCAAGTCCCAGCAGATCCGAGGCCCTTCTAGCTCACACTCCATCCCATGTTATGACTGGAAGATTTGGCTGGATTCATGTAGGAAGTTTTCCTGAAAACACTAGACTAATCCAGGCATGAAGTGTTGGTTTAGTGGTGGACTTGGTAATTTTAGGTTAATGGTTGTACTGGATGATCTTAAAGGTCTTTTCCAACCTAAACAATTCTATGATTCTATGATTCTCCCACACAACATTATTTTTTGATTTCTGATCAGAATTTCTACTGAATTTCTGATTCTTCTTTCTATTTACTGTCACCTTGTAGCCTTAAGAGACAATTATGACCAGAAGCAGTAACTGCAGGTTTCCAACTTACAGAACTTGGATCTTATGGAGAAAGAGCAAGACCGCACAACGTGGAAGACTGGAGTCTTGCTTTTCTTTTTCAAACACAGTCCTTAATTGAATCAGGAGAGCTGTATCCTCAAACTAGGACATATACCTGGGATCCCCTAGCTATGCACCCAGGAGGCTGATAATACCCTGATAATTGTCTTTGGTAAATAAAGCCAGGACATACTATTTACCCTATGAATCAATCTTTAACCAGTTCAAAGTTAACTGCAGTATGTCTAAGTGCCCAGTGGCAGTTCAGAAACAAAGGTAGTTGACGAAAAGTAGGAATGAATGTGGGCAAACAAGTTCAGAGCACATCTTAAAAACCTCACACAGCCCACATCACCTGAAAGTTTGAATAAACTTGTCTTCACAAGAATAACAGTTTTGAAAATACTACTGCAAGCCTTTCATCTGCATCACTATTTCCTACCTGACATGTTCTCTTGTCACATATAAAAGAATTCTACAATAAAAAAAATTGCAGAAGTGTCATATTAATCACAAAAATTCAACACCCCTAACCCCACATTCAGAGAGAAAGAAAAATACAGCCTTCTGAGGAAATATATAAAATACAACAGCTACACAAAGTGCAAAGTTACTATGTAAACATCATCATCTTGTGCTGAAGCTTCTTTCAGATTTCTGTGGAATCTGATCATTCTTTTCCTTTTGATCATTCTGAATGTCATCCCCAAGCCCAAAAAACAGCACTTAAGAGACTCTTAAGTAGCACTCTAAGAGACCATTTTGCATTTGCTTACAAATAAATACAGATATACTTTGTCCACATATAAAATGAAGTCCATTTTAAGTATTTTAGAATACAGGAAAAAAAGCTGCATTGAAAACTCATTACTAGTTTGTAAATGATTTAATCTAAAATTTTGTACCCAGTTAGTCACAATTTGGCAACACTATCTGCAATTACTCACCAGCAGTCTTTGACAATGCAGTCACCTTCTGTTTAGAAGAATATTAGGTAATGGTTCTTTTATGTGGCTCATACTACTATAAGAAAATGTAATACAAAGGACTAGTTCTTTGAATTTGTTTTTCCAGGGGAAAACCTGAAGTTTATCACTTGATACCACAACAATCTCTGAGTAAATGCCATAGAGTAAATGCTTCAGAAACAGCAATTTGAATAAGCATTCGTAGTTGGAGACAATTTTTTTTCGATTACAAGAAGTATTTCAGTATAAGCATAAATTTGACATAACACATAAAAGACATGCTCAGTCAAGAACTTTTGTAAGAATTCAAATTTTGGATTAAGGAAAAATAAGAGGCAGATACAGATATTACACAAAACGAATGTATGATGTGACAGTCAGAATGTAAGCAAAACACAAAAGTACAAATATGCTTATGTACCCCAGTGATCTTGGCATAAAGAATACGTAAACCTCACAGCAGTGCTAAGCAGATAGTGTCATGAGTGTTAATCAAGATGAAAAATGACATGACAACATTTCAAACTTAGATGGGCAGAACATAGCAAGCCCTTCGCTTGAGACCAGTCTATTTCCAGGAAGTATAAAGGCTGTGCACAGAAGTTCAAAATTTGCCAGTTAGGTTTCACATAAAAAGTACATTCATTATCCCTTTTTCCCCTTATATCTATTTTTAAAGAAGTCTGTGATTAATGCTTCAAAACAGTTCAAAAGTGTTGGGTCTACAATGCTCAGGATACCAGTTCAGTAAAGCATCTAACTATTTGCATTAACTTTCCTGCCTTACAAAGGAGGTTTACCCACAGGCCTAAAGGTAAATGCATACAAAACAGACTCAATTAAGCACTTTTCTTTCAGTTGCAAAGAAAGGTCACTCAAGTACACATTTATGACCTCAAATCTGCTCTGTGTAGTGCTGGTTTCCAGGCAATACCCCTTTGCAGTGAGAAGAAAGCTGCTTGTAACTTGCTTTGCTAGTTGAGAAAGATCTGCTGAAATCACAGGATCATCACACTTCCAAATTAAAGAATTCGAATCAGAAGGAAACTCCCGTGCAATACTTTACTAAAAACAAAACATTCTTTGCCGGAATATCATCTGTAACTATGTTAAGGTAACCCCAGGCATATGATGATGTAATACAGAGTGAACAGAGACTGAATTTCTCATACGTAATTTATTCCTGCTTGAATAAAATAGAAACCTTCATCACAGCTGCCATTTTTCAGTGATAAAACCTGCTTTCCAGAGCCTGTAAATGGCCTTAGGAGCACTTTAAATATCGAAGTGTTTGTATAAAACCTTGAGCTCACTTCTGCTAAATGATTTATATTAATTTGCTCCTCATTTGTATCTGTCTGAAATGATAATCTGGTCCATGATGACACTTCAACGTTATACTGAGTTCAGGAAACCAAATATTTACCTACTGTCAAACTTCAGCTTTATTCATTTCTTTGTATTTTGTCTAACAATGTTTGGGTTTGTATCTCAGAAAATGACTAACTTTATTATCTAGCACAAAGGTTTCTTTATTTAGTCTCTCTCTTGTGTCCTGTATACATGTGAGAATGCTAAAACCTCTGCCTTCTCCCTTATGCTCCACTTCAGTGCCTGTAATGACCTATTCCTGAGTTCAGAAAGCTCTTTAGGTTTTCCTTCTCTTTACAGAAAGAACACCTCTCTAACAAACAAAAGTTTGACACTGCTAATTGATTCCTGAGTAATATAGATCTGACTTAGTCAGTTTGTTATAGATAATGATAATGGACTTAGGAAACAAGCCAGATCACTTTTTAGGTCTTTCCATCATAGTTTTAAAACATGATCAAAACTGTTTTCCACACTAGAAATCACAGCCACAGGAAACTATTTTAGTTATTAACCACATTTAGTTCATGAATTCTGCCATCTGCACTGAGTACAGATCCTCTGCTCCTTGCAGAGACAGACCTTGAGCTTTTCTTGCATGAATTTGAGTGGCAGAGGTAGAAACTGCTTCATTACAGCACAGAACCAAAAGAGGAAGAGGAGAAGCTAAGCCCCAGACTTTGATAAGGATTCCGACTTGGGTGTAGTGGTGGGTTTTGGGGTGTTTATTTTAAGCAGTATTTCTTCACTAAGTTTCTCTCTAGTAGTTCTTCATCTTCTCTGCATTTCTTCAAATTTATCAGTACAGCTTTGTGTGGCAAGAGATGAATGCTACAGCGTACAGTGCCTGTGCCAGCACAGTGCAACGAGAGACAAATACTCTTCTGCTGTATAAGGCTACACCAGCAGAGTTAGAAATTGTCTTTGCCCGTTCTGTTATCATCACAATACATTACATACTCATGCCTCATTTTCTTTCCATTCTCCCAGCATTTTTTATTCTCAGTTTCTCCTTTCTTTAGATATTTCAACTTAAGAGTTACTTTAATCAGTTTATTATCAGGAATTTTTCCCTAAAGC